AAAAAATTTTGGTCAAAAAAATTTTGGTCAAAAAAATTTTTGGAAAAAAATCTTTGGTCAAAAAATTTTTAGTCAAAAAATTTTGGTCAAAAAAATTTTTGGTCAAAAAAATTTTGGTCAAAAAAATTTTTGGTCAAAAAAATTTTAGGTCAAAAAAATTTTGGTCAAAGAAATTTTTGGAAAAAAATTTCGGTCAAAAAAATTTCGGTAAAAAAAATTTTTGGTCAAAAAAATTTTGGTTAAAAACATTTTTGGTCAAAAAAATTTTGGTTAAAAAAATTTAGGTCAAAAAAGTTTTGGAAAAAAAAATTTAGGTCAAAAAACTTTTTGGTCAAAAAAATTTTCACCTCATGAGATCGACGAAGACTTTGAAATCCGTCGCGATCGCTAGTCGACTGGAGACCCGGTCGACCAAAATCGACGGTCTCACGCTAGTAGACACACACATAGAGGGAAGCATACCATTACCCCCCGATGTCCAGGATCCAAAAAAGTCCAGATGAGACGACCCAATCAGATTGAATTGATTGCTCATTTGAACAAAATGAAACCCGACAAAATGTTGGTTGACACTCAAGATAGTACTAAGTGCAATGAAACAGTTGTTAGGTCGTTATTTCATAATCACCCTTGCAGTATTTCGAATCGTGCGGTATGCATCAATGCCGAAATGCATTTATGTTTGGCGCCATCTCGTTATGTTTAACCCTTTTGACTCGGATGCCGCCGAGATATTTTTTTTTTTTTAATTAATTTACTATTACATTCATTTATTTATTGATTTATTATCTTTATAAATAAAAATATAACAAAATTAGTTTATTAGCTCACGATCCCCATAATTATTACCACATTTCAAAAAAATCCGTTACAAAAAAATTCCGAGTTGAGAGATATGTATATACTATACTATAATATTCCGAGCGCAGCGTACCGACTAGCAGTCCGACTCCCGAGTCGAAAGTGTTATAATAATAACTGGCAGAATGACTGGTATTTCACCGTGCTCACAGTAAAA